GATGCGCTATCAACGATATTTTTATTTTCTACGTTTCCATCGACAGATAAAGTTAAAAGCGAGACTGTGGCGAACTGCCAACGACTATCTATAGAATTTCAACAATATGTCGTGCATACGCGTAGCTTGCGTAAAGTTTTCCTATCAATCAAAGGCATTTATTATCAAGTGGAAATTAAGGGTCAAGTAATAACTTGGTTAGTGCCATATCAATTCAGCCAACGGGTTAGTAGAATGATTTATATTGATCCCACACCATATCCACATAATCAGTAACTTATGGTATTCCTTGCAACAACAACAGGTTCCCGACGACGTTGATTTTCGTGTTATGCTTACATTCCTGGAGTTCTACCAGACCCTCATTGGATTTGTGAACTTTAAATTATACACAGATGCCAATCTTTCTTATCCCCCAAAGCTTGATATATTAAAGGATGAAGGTTCGGGTGGACTAAACGTTCTTGCCATTGAGCCTAAGAACGTTCACCTATCCCTGAATTCACTTAATGTTGAGTACGAAAAGAAATCTGAATCGATGACTAGTGAAGAAAAGGTGGGTTAGATTCATTAAATAAAAAAGTTTTTTTTTGAAGTTACCGATTGAGCATGTGGGAATTTATTGTATTAAATACAAAGTGCTCTTGTTAGTCATATCAATCGATGTTCTTATGAACGCAAAATCGGTCGTCATTCTCTTGATTGTTAGTTAAATAAAATTTTTACCCAAAGGTTTCTTTTCTTATCAAAAGGTACAAAAATTGAAATCCGAAGAACGTTTAAAGACATTATCCCAAAAGTTAGACACGATGGAAGACAAAGAATCCACAGATCACTTGGACGATACTGAAACTGATGTAAATGAAAATTTGATGGATGAGTTCATTGAGCAAACGTCTGAACAGTCTACTTCCCAAGGTCAAACGCTCATTTATCAAGACATTCATCCTGCTTCAACTGTCCTTTTGGAATTTCAGCAACTTTTTTCAAAATGCATTTTTTATCTATCTCGTGAGGTTCCAAAATATTCGCTGGAATTTGTTATTCGTGCATTTGGTGGTCAAGTTGGCTGGGATGATACTGTTGGCATGGGTTCACCCTTCAAAGAACATGACGAACGGATTACCCATTACATAACGGACCGACAAATGACCAGGGAGCCAATTTCGACCCGTATTTATGTTCAGCCACAATGGGTGTATGATTGTATTAATGCTAGAAAATTATTAAGAACAAAACCATATCAACCTGACAAAGCCTTACCGGCACATCTTTCACCATTTGTCGAATACAAAGAAGGTGATTATTTACCCGGAAATATTGACGACTTCGAAGGAACCATGGAAGAGATGGAAGTGTCAGATTCACAAAAAAATGTTAAGAGTGATACAAAAGAGGAAAGTGACAGTGAAATGGAGGAATCTGAAACAAATTCTTCTGATGAGGTTACTAATCATGCGGAAAATAATGAGGTAAGCTCACCATTTTAACATCTATCTACGAGGATTTGTTTTTAATATATTTGAATTGAATTTATTTATAATTTTTGTTAAAATCACAGTCTGAAGTTGAGGAAATGATTCATCAGATGGAACTTGAAGCTGAAACAGTTGGTATACCATTTTCTAAATATCAAAAAAATCGAGAGCGAATAGAAAAACAAAATAAGAATACCGTAGAAGAACATGAAGTTGCCATAACTGGAAGAAAGCGAAGTGCTAAGGAAATTGAAGAGGAGGAGACGAAGGAGTTGGCGAAGATTATGATGCCCAAGAAACAGAAAAAACTCTATAAAAAGATGCAATATGGAAAGAAAAAGCAGGAAGAAAAAATGTTAAATTTAAAACGGAAGAAGGAAATTTTAGAGAAAAAGAAAAGAAAAGATAATGATGCTAAGGAAAGAAGAAAGGAAAAGCCATGAGCTTTTGTTCTTTAAAATTTGCTTTTTTTTTGTTTATTAATACACTTCAATGCTGAATTACAAAAAAAAAATTTTGAAATACATAATACAGCATTTTCAGTAATAAAATTAATTGTTATTTTTTGTATGCACAAAATATGCTGGAGTTCAATCTTGACTTGGGATCCTCGACTCGATATTATGCCACTAATAATTTTAGGACATTAGCCTTCAACATTGTTCATAGGGACTCTACATCAGAACAAATTACTTATAACCACTGCACTCGCAATTAATGAAATACGTAAAGGAAAAACAGTATGTATTAAGATGTCATTGTTTTTTTGGAGATTTTAGGGGTCGTGGTCTTTTTTTATTTGCATTGAATCCTCCGTCATTAGGTCTTTTGACAGTGTTTTCTGTGCAAGAAAAGATACATAGTCATACATGTTAATGAACAATAAAAAATCACAAAAGACAAAAAACTTTATAAATTTTTACCACCTATAGCCGGAGATTTCACCGAAAGCTTTGGGTGTGGTGACCCGATAGAACCATTATTCATCACAAGCGGCGATGGTGTTGATTTGGGAGTCGGTGTAGGGGTATGCATTGGAGTAGGTGTTCCTACTGGGGTACTCGCAGAAGTCTGTAAGTCATTAGCATTAGGAGTTGGTGGTGCACCACTGAAATTCGATACGTCATTCTTGATATCCTTTTTGGAAACAGATTGAGAAGGCGAACTTGACATTTCCAGTGGATGATTAACCATTGGCGCTGCTACATTTGGATTAGAATTTTGGGACGCAATGATCCGTAATGCCTCTGATTTAGACAAAGGGATTGAATTGTATATAAGAGCGATTACCTTAAAACTGAATTTAACCATACCCAAACCATACCCAAAAGAATTTACGCATTACCCAGTGGTCCTATATTTGGATTATTAATTGTAACTGTCATGACTTCCTGCATATAGTCTACCCCCTCACCAACCTGGAACGTAAAAAAATAGATGGTAAGAATTGATAATTATTCTCTTCCAGACTAATGTATTATAAGATATACCTCTAGACACCGCATGGTCTTGTGAGGGATGCCGTGTCCATTTATGAGATTCTCCTGAGAATTTGTTATAAACTCGTTCAAGAGTTGTCTTGGAACATACTCAGTATATTTTTCTGCTTCAAATTCAAAATTTGTGATTTTCATATTGACAAAAGTAACACTCAGGCGTCCTGTCTCAACGACCTTAACGAAATAATTTGAAATTTCATTAGAACCATTCAATGACGTGTACTGTTAATAAAAATCTTTACCTGCATCCCATTTTCATAATGGTACATTATTGAAGCTGACTTGCATTCTACCAATATTCCATTGTTATGTTGAATGGATTCTTGAGTGATCCCTAATATTAGCTGTATTTTCGTCACTCCAGATTCGAAAAATGTCTGATAAAACCTAGGTATAAGTTGGTATTTTATTTCTATAAATAGATTAAAATTTTTGAGTAAGCGAGTTAATGGTTGATGAATTGCAATCAAACGAAATCATACCAAATTTTCTTGATCCGCTGTTATAATTCATTGAAGTATTTTCGTCAAAAAATATTTTTGTAAATTCCACCCAGTGCGCGATGTCATCCTTTTTTTTTATCTAAGGCGATAATTCTGATCAATAAAAGGAACAAAGTGCTAAGCAAGAGCTACCAAAGACGTTTACAATAACTCACATTGAAGTCACTTTCTAAATAATCCGCAAACAATAGAAGCCTCATTTTAC